CCCCCTCCCAGTATACAGTTACTTTCCCCTCCCCCTCCCAGTATCTGCATGGGGTCCACCCCTACTAAGCCGGTATCACGTTATGTTCACTGCCAGTTTCCAGGTTTTGGTTAAATTGATACGACCTCATATATGATTAATCGCCCGTTCTTCACTAAATAAGCTCTCAGTAATGTGTCTGAATTAAATAATAGTCTGGTGAGCTTAATTAATAGAGGATCTACGATACATATCCATTTTTACAGTGAAAAGTGGACATAAACCTTTTTAAAATTATGTATTCATTTACGTTTAGTGTTTCTTTACAAATTAAACAAACTTGTGTTTACAATTTTATAAAATATTCCTATAAAGTGCATAATGACTTTCAGAGCTATATACCGTAATTATTTTAAAACTTTTAAACATACTAAATTTACTAATTAGTTAAGGTTAAAGCCTTAGGCTGTTTCACAGACGGATTCAACATTTCCTGGGGGCTTTGCCCCCTTACACCCAACCCTATTCCACTAGCGACTGTGCCCCCAGACCCTGCTGTAGCTTGCTCGGGGGCGCTAAGCACCCCCTCGCTCACCTCCCACCTGCATTTTCGGCACTCCTCCTCCCCCTCCGCCCCCAGAGCTAAATCTGAAAATCCGTCTATGGGCTGATTGCATCGTCGGAGAACTCACATGCCAACTAACTGTTCTAGTTTATAAAAGCAGAATAGAACAAAGATATCTTAAAGCATTAAAATTATTATAATAATGCTTAGTTATTTTTGTTCTTTAATCTGATTTTCTCTATCTTATTTATTCAGATATGAAAATATTTCACTGATGTTTGCAATTGGCAGTGTTCCAACGTGAACGAGGCTACAACCTTGACATTCGCATGTTCCAACACTCGCTGGACTCACACACACACTACACACTTATCTTAACTTATGTCAGAACTTTATATATTATCTCTCCGTAGAAATTCACCACTGACCAAGATTATCTTCGATTCTTCTACAAATGAAAACATTATTAGCTGCCGTTGTTTGAGCTTTCCAGGTAGTTCAGACACAAACCACGACAGCTTATTGTAGAATACTACCTACACTGAACCACCACATTTGAGATCTATTTTTCAGGTAGTTCAAGTAGAAGCGAAATTTTGGTGGGGTTGAACACTTTATAAGAGGGTTAGAGAGATTCTAGGTTGACCACCAACCCCCCCCCCTAACCCCTTCCAGTAAATCCGCCCATGGTTAGAATACCTTAGGTCACGATTCAGCAATTTCTCCATCTGAATTGCTTTTCTTCTCGTCATATTCTCGTCGTAATCGATCGAGTTCCTCAAGTTCGCCCTACATGGAAATATGCGTTCACTAAGTTTCAAAAATGACGCAAAATGACCTGTCGCAAACTGACGTCATACATGTACCTTTAGAGCTGCGAGATGCTGTTCTCGTAATGAAGAAATCTTCTGCATAGGGAATGGATTGACGGTTTGAAAAGCAACCTAGAAATAGAAAGTAATAACGTCCTTACTGGACCTCTAGGGAGAACAGTTTAGAACTGATAGAGCTATCCAGTATAAATAAAGTTAGTTTAGTTTAGGTTTCCACAGTCCTGGTGTAACACTGGATCAATAAGTGATGATCCTTACTGGACCTCTAGGAAGAACAGTTTAGTACTGATAGAGCTATCCAATATAAATAAAGTTAGTTTAGTTTAGGTTTCCTCCTGTAGTAACACTGGATCAATAAGAGATGATCCTTACTGGACCTCTAGGAAGAACAGTTTAGTACTGATAGAGCTATCCAGTATAAATAAAGTTAGTTTAGTTTAGGTTTCCTCCTGTAGTAACACTGGATCAATAAAAGATGATCCTTACTGGACCTCTAGGAAGAACAGTTTAGAACTGAAAGAGCTATCCAGTATAAATAAAGTTGGTTTAGTTTAGGTTTCCTGCTGTAGTAACACTGGATCAATAAGAGATGATCCTTACTGGACCTCTAGGAAGAACAGTTTAGAACTGATAGAGCTATCCAGTATAAATAAAGTTAGTTTAGGTTTCCTGCTGTAGTAACACTGGATCAATAAGAGATGATCCTTACTGGACCTCTAAGAAGAACAGTTTAGAACTGAAAGAGCTATCTAGTATAAATAAAGTTAGTTTAGTTTTCCTGCTGTAGTAACACTGGATCAATAAGAGATGATCCTTACTGGACCTCTAAGAAGAACAGTTTAGAACTGAAAGAGCTATCCAGTATAAATAAAGTTAGTTTAGTTTTCCTCCTGTAGTAACACTGGATCAATAAGAGATGATCCTTACTGGACCTCTAAGAAGAACAGTTTAGAACTGAAAGAGCTATCCAGTATAAATAAAGTTAGTTTAGTTTTCCTCCTGTAGTAACACTGGATCAATAAGAGATGATCCTTACTGGACCTCTAAGAAGAACAGTTTAGAACTGAAAGAGCTATCCAGTATAAATAAAGTTAGTTTAGTTTTCCTCCTGTAGTAACACTGGATCAATAAGAGATGATCCTTACTGGACCTCTAGGAAGAACAGTTTAGAACTGATAGAGCTATCCAGTATAAATAAAGTTAGTTTAGTTTACTGTAGGTCTCCTCCTGTAGTAACACTGGATCAATAAGAGATGATCCTTACTGGACCTCTAGGAAGAGCAGTTTAGAACTGATAGAACTATCCAGTAGAAATAAAGTTAATTTAGTTCTGGTTTCCTCTTGTAGTAACACTGGATCAATAAGAGATGATCCTGACTGCATCTTTAGGGAGAACAGTTTAGAGCTATAGATCTATCCGGTATAAATAGGTTCGTTAAAGTGGTCTCATTCATTTTGTTTTCATTGTAGGACAACGAGAAAGTCTCTGTTCTTTACGACGAACGTGAGAGAAAGCTGACGGATCTGGAACACCATTTAGAGAAAATGAAACAACAGCAAGATAACTTGCAGAAGAAACTCAAAGACGAAACTGAAAAGAAATCAAAAATGGAAAGAGAAGTGCAGAAAGATCAACAGAGGATCAAAGAGCTAGAAGAAAAGAATGTTCAGAATGAGAAAATATTGAAGAGAAAGACGGAGGAAGTTGTGGCAGCTCAGAGAAAGCTGAGACGCAAGACTTCCAAGGAAGAGAAGTAAGATAAGATAAGAATGAGCTGCCGTGGTTTTGAGATATCCTTTTCAGGTAGTTTAGACACAAACTATGACAGCTTATTGTAGAATACTACTTACACTGGACAACCACGTTTGAGACATCCTTTTCAGGTAGTTCAGACACAAACCACGACAGCTTATTGTAGAATACTACCTACACTGGACCACCACGTTTGAGATATCTTTTTCAGGTAGTTCAGACACAAACCACGACAGCTTATTGTAGAATACTAC